TGCCCAAACTCATTTTCAGTTTTTATCTATTACTCTGTGTTTTGTTTCGGATATCGTTGGGTTAGATAATGAAATGTTTGATTTCTTAATGTTACCTGACACTTCATTGTTTATTTAGTACTTTGCATTTGCACTCTAAGTTGAGGGAATATAAAAGGGAGTTTGAGATTGCTTAAAGAAATGTATAGAAATTGTAGTCATGCGAATATAGATATTTGTTCAAAAGTGGATAGGCTGTCAATTCAGTTGATAAAAAGTTGTAGAAAATCAGTTCAAATCGTTGTATAATTGACCGGATACTTTCTGATTGATCACCAAGATCCAACTATATCTTTCATTTCAAGAGATGAATGAAAAACCATAGGCATCATAGGGATATATTTGGAGCAGATAAGCCGAACATACAGCGTACAGGTTGCACCCTCTTGGTGCTTGTGAATAGATGATTTTTTTTTTTCAAGAAAAAGAAACAAAAAACTATTCACACTCATCCAGATCCAAAAGGCTCAGATGTTAACGGTCAGCATTTGTAACTACATGAAACGAATTATAATCAATGCAATGGCAGCATTTTATAAATTTCACACCTCTTACAACAACATGGAAATAGTTGGATTATGTTAATTTTTCAGTAAACTCCATGCTTGTTTCCATGTTTTGGATAACGAAGATCATAAATTTTTTTCAACATCAAAGGTAAAATCCCAATTTACTCACCCATAGGTTTCTATGATTGAACAGGAATTCAAGCTGAGTTAATACTGGGAACAATTGCTAGGAAAGCAAATAAAAATGGTGCTGCTAATGAGGATTATTTAGAAGATAGGGTTAGTTTTGGTGAGGATAAGCTGATAGACTCTGGCAGCAAGGCTGTCATGATGGCTTGGGAGAAACCACTGATGGAGGCTCATGCAAAAGCTGTTTGCTCTGGAGGTGGCCACGTACTAAACGTTGGATTTGGAATGGGACTTGTGGATACAGCCATTCAGCAGTATTCTCCAGTAACACACACGATAGTTGAGGCTCACCCAGTGGTCTATAAGCGAATGCTTCAGAGTGGTTGGGATAAGAGGGAGAATGTCAAGATAATATTTGGTCGTTGGCAAGATGTTCTTTCTCAACTTGAAACCTATGATGGCAAGTCATATGTTATATATACCTTTGGCCTAATATCTATTCTCGTCAATGTACTTTAGTTTGACTAATCTACTAATGTATGCGGACTGTTATGCATCGTATTTCTATTAATTTTTTTTCTTATCTTAAGCAGCTTAAGCTAATTTTTTAGTTTAGTTCATCATGCATGTCATCCCTAGTATTCTTGTCTAATTCATTATAACGATGTGCTATAACGGTGTTGTGATGTACAATTCAGGTATATTCTTTGACACCTACGGGGAGTATTATGAAGATCTAAGAGAATTTCACCATCATCTTCATAAATTATTAAAGCCCGGAGGGATCTACTCATTCTTCAATGGTCTTTGTGGAGGTAATGCTTTCTTCCATGTTGTCTACTGTCATTTAGTGTCTCTAGAACTTGAGAATTTGGGTTACACCACCCAGTTAATTCCGTTGCCTGTTAAAGATTGTCTGGGAGAAGAAGTTTGGGAAGGTGTCAGACAAAAGTATTGGCAACTTGATACCTATTACCTCCCTGTTTGCCAGTCTATAGAGGACTCTGAATGATGTTTGAATATACTACAGCTGGTTTTTTTATCTTTTCTATCTCTAGAACACTGCAATATCATCATCCATAATTTGGTTAGTTTGGAGAGTAGATGGTATAGCAGATGTTCCCCACAAGATCTGCTATCTTGTGTTTATGGAATTGTTTCTACATCCAAATATATTTCGTCCCGACATATGATAATGTCTGAACCTTAAATTTATGCAGCTTATTGATGGAAATTGACTACCACTGAATTATATGTTCATTTATCTTCCTGAGTTTAAATGAGCAATTGTCTTACCAGATTTTATGCAGAATAAAACGTGAAATAGCCAAATGCATGGTATAGGGCGTGAGAGTTCAAACATTCACTACCTTAATTATTTTGTTACCAATATATCAAAACAGCACCTCCAATAGCTTTGAAGCTATTTAATCTAGAGACAGCTTTGAAATCTAGATGACCATTTAATCATACTTGAATAAAGTGACATTTTGGCTTGCCAGAGGAAGTATGTATGGAGGATTTCTTACTGGATGTTTTACTTGATTATTAGTCATATCCAGTGTTTCCTAGGGCTATGATAGTTATGCACTAGTTAAGCAAACAAACAGGCACATCTTCTTGTAAATGCTTTTTTGTTTTAAAGAAAACACGTGTGTCGCTGCACCCTTAACATCTAAGCCTCATTAATACTCCCTTAAAATTTTGCTTTTCTTTCATACCATTTGTCTAAGACATAAGTATGCTGATTAACCTGGGCTTGGGA